CGATTTTAGGTACAATACCCATCGAAATTGTTTGAAATGTGGTATTTGAAGTTCGTAATGGATGCTACAGCCTGTGACAGAAAATTGTCTATGCTGGTCCAGGTCTTTGCACAGCTCCAATTTAACGGCACCTCCTTATATACGATATTTTGGTGATTTTAGCTACATTATTCACGGTTTATTTCAAGTTTCCAATTTGAATATGGTAATGGCTTATGACAAACAATGCATATGTATGTCTACGTCGTATAGACCCCAATATAACGGCTATATTTGGTATTTTTAAAATTTTAACAGAATTTTTTAAGGATTTTATTTTTTAAAAATTTCCAAATTCGTTGAAAATAGTGGAGGGTATTAAAAGTTCGGCCCGGCCGAACTTAGTGTTTTTAACTTGTTTATTTTATTTAGATACAGCCTGGAAATACCAATGCTAAATATTGTAGAAATCGGTTCAGATCACGATATAGCTCCTATAGGTATAACTTCGGATCATATGATCAAAATATGCCAAGTTTGTATCCAATCGATTTAGAAATAACCATATTTTCTATATTTTAATTCTTAACGTTTTCAAATATCATCCACTCTAAAGACGAAATACGCATTCAATAATGTTCACAGTTGGTACAATTTACTTCATATTCATATGACTAAAACATCATCCTAAATCTATATATAAACATGGACATGCCGTAGAATGTAAGTAAGGACCCAATTGACACCAAGAGCAAGTAAATCAGTAGAATTTTAATCACTAACTGCAGCAAAATAGTTTTACAAATTAGGGGCAAATGTTAAAATAATATTTTTAGAAATTAAAGTTTAGAACCTCAAAATTAAATATATATTATAATATATATAATAATGTACCAACCTAATATGTCTTAATAAATTACTAAATTTTAAATATCTATTAAACTGACCATAATATTCCTGTGTAGATTGGCTGTTTGATTTCATGCGCCTCTTAATACACCCCTTAAACAATATATGTAGAGTTTTGGTCAACATCTTCGACTTTACAATTATCCATCTTCAGAAGTGCCTGATAACTATTTAACACCTGCAAATATGATGAAAAATAGGCGATATTTCACGACTTCATTTGAACTCAACAAAGATGAATGAAAGAGATTGAATGTTTCAAGACTTCTCTCGAACGTATGCAAAAGAAAACATTGGTAAACATTGTCGTTTCCCCAGTATTCATTGTATTTATGGTTGAGGTTGAACTTTAGTTTGTTTAACAAACAAATAAACATCTTGTCGGGCCTTTGCATGTACCCATGTTGTGTTGACTTTGTGTTCCAACACCATTCGTCGTTTACCTTTCGTGTGTTCTCAGCAGCTGTTGATGAGTAAAACCACCAATTTCTCAGCTAACTAACATTCCTGGTGGTTAAATAAGGGAAAAACAAAAACACACAACAACACTGAGAATGCCAAAGAGCCGAAGAGAATTCAACCCATATACATTCATCTCAAAATGTACACAAGACACGGTGGATGGGTAGTTCACACATGTTTCGTGTATCCTTGTGCGAGACAGAATGGAGACATTTTTAGCCGACTTGTTTTATTTTATTTTTTTTTGTGTTGATATGAAGTGCTCAGGGAAGAATGTATGAAAAATGGACATTATTTCTAATTGGAAAGAAGGGAAAAGGGATTTTTATTATAAAATTTCGGTTTTTTATTTTTTCAGGATAACAACTACCTACTCTCAATGTACCTGCCTACATAAATAGCGAAATAATGTTTAGATATCACCTGAATTGGAGCAGACATTAATGTATACAATTTCATTCTCTCTATTTCTGTATATGATTTTCATCAAATTTGTTTTGGTTTCCCATTTCGTTGTTGCAAAAAAAAACAAACATTTTGCTCTTTTGGATTTTATGCGCTCACACAATCCACTCCTTGTAATGTCAATATGTTCCACGCTCAGAGGATGTATTGCTGCTCTCTTATTAAAGAGCTTTCAATGATGTAATAACATTACAAGGGGTTGCCAACGTGAAATTCCGATTAGAATAAGAATTTTCCCCAAAAAAAGAAAGTAAAAAAAAAAACTTGGTCCTTAAAGGCGAATTTTGAAATGAGACGACATAGATTTACTGAAAGGTATAAAAAGGTACAGAAAGCTTATTGTTATTGACGATATGTTACCCTACACTACTTAGATAAGAAACTATTTTGACTAAAATCTTTAAAAATCAACATCATCGATCTAAAAAAATCCATTATAAATTCTTAAAAAACCCAACGATTAAAAAAAAAATCTGGAAAAAAATAATAAAAATATCAGGCAAAAAAAAAAAAAAAACAATTTCTTAAATGTCGTTAAAAACCACATCCTTTTCGTCTAAAAAATCTTAACAATTCGATCTTCTCTTTTATGCCCTCCACCATGGTATGGAGAGTATTAAGTTTGTCATTCCGTTTGAAACACCTTGAAATATACATTTTAGACCCCACAAAGTTTTTGATCAGCATAAAATTCTATGTCGATTTAGCGTCCTTCTATCCGTCTGTGGAAATCACTCTAGCTTCCGAAAGAAATGAAGTAGGTTGATAAAAGTTTACTTATATGTATATTATATCTGCAGGAACTTTGGTATTAAAAATGGGCCATGTAGGTCCACGTTTTGGTATAGCCCCCATATAACGGTACCTCCCGATATTCGGTATTTTGATGATTTTAGCGGCATTATTCATCGGAATTGTTTCAAATTTGGTATTTGAAGTTTGTAATGGGTACTACAGCCTATGACAGAAAATTGTCTGTGTGGGTCCACATCTTCGTATAACCCCCACATAACGGTCACTCCAGCTATTCGGTATTTTGATGATTTTAGCGGCATTATTCATTATGGATGGGTATTAAAAATTCCTTTAAAAATCCATGCCTATTGGTCTTGTATAGAAATAAAAAAAATCCTTTAAAAATCCATGCCTATTGGTCTTGGATAGGCATTAAAAATTCCTTTGAAAATCCACGCCTATTGGTCTTGTATAGAAATAAAAAAAATCATTTAAAAATCCATGCCTATTGGTCTTGGATAGGCATTAAAAAATTCCTTTAAAAATCCATGCCTATTGGTCTTGGATGGGCATTCAAAAAATCTTAAAAAAAATCCACGCCTATCTTAAATGGGAATTCAAAAAATCCTTTTAAAATCCACGCCTATTGGTCTTGGATGGCTATTTATAAATTCCTTTAAAAATCCACGCCTATTGGCCTTGGGTGGCTATTAAAAAATCCTTTAAAAATCCACGCCTATTGGTCTTGGATGGCTATTTATAAATTCCTTTAAAAATCCACGCCTATTGGTCTTGGATGGCTATTTATAAATTCCTTTAAAAATCCACGCCTATTGGTCTTGGATGGCTATTTATAAATTCCTTTAAAAATCCACGCCTATTGGCCTTGGGTGGCTATTAAAAAATCCTTTAAAAATCCACGCCTATTGGTCTTGGATGGCTATTTATAAATTCCTTTAAAAATCCACGCCTATTGGTCTGGTCTGGGTATTAAAAAATTCCTCTAAAAATCCACGCCTATTGGTCTTGGATGGCTATTAAAAAATTCCTTTAAAAATCCACGCCTATTGGTCTTGGATGGCTATTAAAAAATCCCTTTAAAAATCCACGCCTATTGGTCTTGGATGGCTATTAAAAAATTCCTAAAAAAATCCACGCCTATCGGTCTTGGATGGGCATTCAAAAAATCCTAAAAAAATCCACGCCTATCGGTTTTGGATGGGCATTCAAAAAATCCTTTAAAAATCCAGGCCTATTGGCCTTGGGTGGCTATTAAAAAATCCTTTAAAAATCCACGCCTATCGGTCTTGGATGGGCATTCAAAAAATCCTAAAAAAATCCACGCCTATCGGTCTTGGATGGGCATTCAAAAAATCCTTTAAAAATCCAGGCCTATTGGCCTTGGGTGGCTATTAAAAAATCCTTTAAAAATTCACGCCTATTGGCCTTGGGTGGCTATTAAAAAATCCCTTAAAATCCAGGCCTATTGGCCTTGGGTGGCTATTAACAAATCCTTTAAAAATCCACGCCTATTGGCCTTGGGTGGCTATTAAAAAATCCTTTAAAAATCCACGCCTATTGGCCTTGGGTGGCTATTAAAAAATCCTTTAAAAATCCACGCCTATTGGTCTTGGATGGCTATTAAAAAAATTCCTTTAAAAATCCACGCCTATTGGTCTTGGATGGCTATTAAAAAATTCCTTTAAAAATCCACGCCTATTGGTCTTGGATGGCTATTAAAAAATTCCTTTAAAAATCCACGCCTATTGGTCTTGGATGGCTATTAAAAAATTCCTTTAAAAATCCAAGCCTATTGGTCTGGGATGGGTATTAAAAATTCCTTTAAAAATCACGCCTATTGGTCTGGGGTGGGCATAAAAAATTCCTTTAAAATCCACGCCTATTGGTCTGGGATGGGTATTAAAAAATTCCTTTAAAAATCCAAGCCTATTGGTCTGGGATGGGTATTAAAAATTCCTTTAAAAATCACGCCTATTGGTCTGGGGTGGGCATAAAAAATTCCTTTAAAATCCACGCCTATTGGTCTGGGATGGGTATTAAAAAATTCCTTAAAAAATCCACGTCTATTGGTCTTGGATGGCTATTAAAAAATTCCTTTAAAAATCCACGCCTATTGGCCTTGGGTGGCTATTAAAAAATCCTTTAAAAATCCAAGCCTATTGGTCTGGGATGGGTTTTAAAAAAATCCTATGGATATCCAGTCCTTTTGGTCTTGGATGGCTATTAAAAAATTCCTTTAAAAATCCACTGCAATTGGTCTGGGATGGGCATTAAAAAATTCCCTTAAAAATCCACGTCTATTGGTCTGGGATGGGCATTCAAAAAATTCCTTAAAAAATCCACGCCTATTGGTCCTGGAGGATATTTAAAAATTCTTCCGGGCATGTTTTTCAATTTAATTTACATATGGAAATATGCTATGTACTTACCTTTGGTGTTCTATGCCAGTCCAGTATATTCAAAATCTATAATGAGAATAAAATAAAAAAAAACTAATTAATTGCTTTTCAATATCAATTTAATGATTGCTTATATTCTAATAAATGGTTTATTTTGATATGAACTTTAATGGTAACACCCTCTTACCACACCAAATGGAAAAAGTCTGACCATTCCCTAGCCTCATACCTTATTAACATAAACTACCACCAAAAACCAGCGAATACAAACAAAACAAAAAGTTTCAAATTTCCAATTCCAAAGGGAAAGACGAAACCTCCGAAAATAAACAGTTCAATGAACTCCCTTGTGCACCAAAATACAAAAGTTGTAGCCAACAACTCAGAATTATATGGGACACTTTATCATTGACAACTCATTTTTATGCTTTCGAATTTTGTTACCATATCACTTTGACTAAAAGTATCATAAATAGAATCGTGTTAAGGACACAGTAACCAATAATTAATTTGACTACGGAAATGAAAGGAAGAAAGAAAGAGAAACACCTGACGCGTGTCGCATGGTCACTTGGTTGTGGTCTTTTCTGGAAAAGAAAATAACAGAATGTGAATGAATGAATTATGTACGCACTTCAATGTTGTGGGGAAACACCTGCCGTTGTGTGGACATTATGAAGCATAAGGATATGTGACAAAAACCAGAAGGTTGCTTCAGGTTATGATCCACAATAAATGTTCTTAATGACCGTAAGTAGTCTTGAGAAGGAAGATAATTGGGGAAGGGAAGGGAAGGGAAGGGAATTAATTGACGTTGGTATAGAAAAATACTAAACAACGTTTGAAAAATTGTTTTAAACGATACAGGATTCATTCTCGAAAGTACTCTATAAATATACAACTTTACTTGAAGATATATTCATATAGCCTCTTAAAAACCCTTTAAAAATAAATTGCTTTTTTTTTAGAGTAAAATTAAAACATTAAAAAAAGATAGTTTTTGGAAAACTTTCTTTAAAAAATCCCCGATCTAAGGGTCTTTGAAATAATATCCTTTAAAACCAAGCTTTTCGGTTTGATAATCCTTGAAAACAAGTATCTTGGTCCTTTAAGATATATTCATTAAAAATCCACGTTTGATGATTCATTGTTCCCTGTATCCTTAAAATATAAACAATTGGTGGCCAAGTAAAAATATTCTTATCTAAATCAACAAAGTACCGAATAACGGGAGGTACTGTTATAGGGGGGCTATACGAAGACGTGGACCTACACAGACAATCTCCTGTCATAGGCTGTAGCATCCATTACGAACTTCAAATACCAAATTTGAAACGATTCCGGTGAATAATTTCGCTAAAATCATCAAAATTCCGAATATCGGGAGATACCGTTATATATGGGCTATACGAAGACATGGACTTACACAGACAATTTTCTATTTTAGACTGTAGTATTCATTACGAATTTCAAATACCAATTTTGAAACAATTCCGGTGAATAATGTCGCTAAAATCATCAAAATACCGAATATAGGGAGGTACTGATATATGGGGCCTATACGAAGACCTGGACCCGCACAGACAATTTTCTGTCACAGACTGTAGTTCGCATAACGAACTTCAAATACCAATTTTGAAACAATTCCGGCGAATAATGTCGCTAAAATCATCAAAATACCGAATATCGGGAGGTACCGTTACATGGGGGCTATACGAAGAGATGGACTTGCACCGACAATTTTCTATCTTAGACTGTAGTATTCATTACGAACTACAAATACCAATTTTGAAACAATTCCGGTGAATAGTGTCGCTATTCCTCCCGAATATCGGGAGATACCGTTACATGGGGGCTATACGAAGAGATGGACTTGCACCGACAATTTTCTATCTTAGACTGTAGTATTCATTACGAACTACAAATACCAATTTTGAAACAATTCCGGTGAATAGTGTCGCTAAAATCATCAAAATACCGAATATAGGGAGGTACTGATATATGGGGCCTATGCGAAGACCTGGACCCGCACAGACAATTTTCTGTCACAGACTGTAGTTCCTATAACTAACTTCAAATACCAAATTTGAAACAATTCCGGTGAATAATTTCGTTAAAATCATCAAAATTCCGAATATCGGGAGGTACCGTTATATGGGGGCTATACGCAGACGTGCACCCGCACAGGCAATTTTCTGTCTTAGGCTGTAGCATCCATTACGAACTTCAAATACCAAATTTGAAACAATTCTGGTGAATAATGTCGCTAAAATCATCAAAATATCGAATATCGGGAGGTACCGTTATATGGGGCTAAATCAAAATGTGGACCTAAACAGACAATTTTCTGTCATATGCTGTATTCTCCATTACGAACTTTAAATACTAAATTTGAAACGATTCCGGTGAATAATTTCGCTAAAATCATCAACATTTCGAATATTGGGAGATACCGTTATATATGGGCTATACGAATGCATGGACCTGCACAGACAATTTTCTGTCTTAGGCTGTAGTATTCATTTCGAACTTCAACTACCAAATTTGAAAGAATTCCGGTGAATAATTTCGCTAATATCATCAAAATTCCGAATATCGGGAGATACCGTTGTAGGGGGGCTATGCGAAGACGTGGACCTGCATACGAAATTTTTTGTCATAGGCTGTAGTGTTCATTTCGAACATCAAGTGCCAAATTTGAAAAAATTCCGGTAAATAATGTAGCTAAAATCATCAAAATACCGAATATCGGGAGGTACTGTTATATGGGGGCTATACGAAGACGTGGGCCTGCACAGACAATTTTCTGTCATAGGCTGTAGTATCCATTTCGAACTTGAAATACCAAATTTGAAACAATTCCAGTTAATAACGTCGCTAAAATCATCAAAATACCGAATATCGGGAGGTACTGTTATGTGGGGGCTATACGAAGACGTCGATCTAATCAGACAATTTTCTGTCATGGGCTGTAGCATCCATTACGAACATCAAACATAAAATTTGAAACAATTCCGGTGAATAATTTCGCTAAAATCATAAAAAAACCGAATATGGGGACGTACCGTTATATGGGGGCTATACCAAAACATGCCTGTACATAGCCCATTTTCAATACCAAAAGTCCTGCAGACATAATATACATTTGAGTATAATTTTATCAATCTACTTCATTTCGTTCGGAAGCTAGAATGATTTCCACAGACGGATAGACGGACGGACATCGCTAAATCGACAATGAATTTTATGCTGATCAAGAATATATATAATTTGTGGGGTATGTAATGTAATGTAATGTATATTTCGTGGTGTTACAAACGGAATGACAAACTTAATATACCCTCCATACAATGGTGGAGGGTATAAAAATATTAAACTGAACAAAAAGTATTATGAACTTAAAAAACTCCTCGTTCGTTGACCTGGGGTCGTTAAAAAAAAACTTGAAAAGGCCACTACTATTGTCCTTATAACCCTTGAAGAAATATATTCAAAATCAATTTTTCTGTAACTAATAGTTAATAGATTTTAAAATCCAAGTTCATTGATCAGTTTCTCCTTGGAAAATGTTCTGAAAAAGTTCTTAACAAATATTTTTTTTGTTGTTGCGAAATGGTCAGGCTTTATCCCTTCATTGTTGTTTTTTTACAAAAACAACGTTTGTTTAATATTTTTTTTTTAAATTATTACGTTTTATATTTCCTATATTTCCATTTCTCCCTTTCCAAAAATAATTTTCTTGTAGCTCTCATTTATTTCTGGTCCGCATAAATCACTTGCCTATTTACAATTTTATCGACTAAATATTTACATTGAAATTGCTTGCAAATAATGGCATGCAATTGCGCTATTTTTCTCCTTCCAGACATATCCTTTGTCGTTATCGTCACATAAACTTACTGTTGTTCATGAAAAAGTTATGAGCTGCGTTATTGTTTATTTTCGGGTTTCAGGTGATTTCCGGTAGAATATTACAATTTTTTTTGTGATTTTCGTTTATTCTACAAGAACACGTCATTGGATTTCATGAAGAAAGTCCTGAAACCTTTACTGGAAAATAATAACAATAATTTGCATACATATATACATATATTCATGTATACGTACATACGTCTTTTTGTAAATATGACAGAGTACCTCTGTATATAGTTCATAAATACATACATTCGAATTTAATGAATATAAATTATCGAACAAATATTTTCGACTTATTGTTCTGTACATCAAGATGTGTGATTGTATGTGGGTGTCTGTGTGTGTGCATGTTCCCAGCAAATAACAACCTTGTAATTAGATTCTATACTGAATGTAAACGCAATACAGAAAAAAATACTGAAAAAAATTAAAATAATTGCTATTTGTCATGAAAAAAAAAATCAGTTGACTGACATATAAAAACGGGTGACTACCTAAATATGTTTGTATGTAAAATAATAACATTTCTATGCATACACATATAATGGTGTTTGAGTAAGTTGTGGTTACCTATAACGAACATACATAGAGACGCACATGTTGGCCGCAACAAAAATTCTTTAAACCTTTTGTTCAACGGTCTCGTTCTAAGTAGCCCCCAAAGAGAGGTGGGCATGTTTGACACCATATATCACAAAAAAAATAAGAAGCAAAATACAAAACAAAATAATATTTATATCCATAAAACATGAAATATTTATCATTATGAGTGTTTATGTAGAGTAATGGGGGAAAAGAAACAATAAGAAAAATAAAACAAACAGTATTAATTTCTTTTCTTGCAAAATTTGCTGGTTTATTGAATTGCTTTTGGTGTGTTTTCGACAATAAGTATTACCTCTTTTCAATGTTGTGTGTTGGCGACAGTGGCCGTGTTGGGTATTCTCTCAAAGGCTAAAGACAAGTGAACGCTGAGGTTCTAGGTGATCGCAGAGGATCTCATGTCTGTCTACTAATACAACTACAACTACTTCCAATGAGAGCATGTGTAACAAGGTGAGGTTACCGACAACAACCAATGCCCAGCGACGATCCGCTCACTACGGTCTCCGCCAGGGGAGTTGTAGAGGAGATGCCTGTGCGCCAATCAG